TACGGTGCTACACCAGGAATCCTCAGCAGTTATCGGGCTTTCTTTAAAGGTGAAACATGTCATAGGGTCAAACAATTAACAGCTGCAACTTTAACACTGTAGTTTTTGTTTGTTTCAGTTGAAAATCCATTCAATACTTTTAGGAAATTCTATAGCGTAGTGGTTACAAATCAGGCTGCTAATCTCAAGATCAGCAGTTCGAAACTACCCGCTTCCGCAGAGAAAGATGAGGCTTTCTGCTCCCGTAAAGATTTACAGCCTCGGAAATCCTGCAGGGTTGCTATGGGTCGGAATCAACTCAATGGCACTTAACAACAACAACTCTTCTTAAAAGGAGCTCTGGTAGCGTAGTGATTATGAATTGGGCTGCTCACGTCACGGTCAGCAGTTCCAAACTACCAGGTGTTCCGTGGGAGAAAGATGAGGCTTTCTGCTCCCATAAACAATTACAGACTCAGAAACGTTGTGCAGGGTCGCTATGAGTCGGAACCAGCTCCACAGCACATAACAACAACAACAACAACTCTTCTTAAATAATGTCTTAAATGTCAAACATCATGACAACATTATCATTTTCAGGTATCTTTAAAGCTTTTTATTTTTTTTTAATGATAAGTAGACCAAAACAAAAAATAAGTGAGAAATGTTATTTTTAAACCTGAAGGAAGAATATTGTAACAATGTTGCCTAATTCTACAGTCTTCATCAACCTCTAATATATATAAAATACTTGATTCTCACCGTAACATTCTCAAAGCTACAAATCTATGTTTCTACTAAAGGAAGACAGAAAAACTTTGTTACATGGAAAAATGTCTAATAACTGGCTGAACACATATGACAAAAGATTTTGAATTACAAAATGTTTATTTTCCTATTATTTCTAATTCTCACATTTTGTAAGCAGTTTCCCATCTTTTCTTTCTCTGTACTTACAAAACTACTAGTGATTCAGGGGACTTGGAAGCAAACAAATTTAATGACGCAGAATTAGGAAAGGCACCGAGAAACATTTGGGAGATTTCATGTGTAAAGAGACTGACAGTTTCAAGAAGAATTTCAGTTAATTAACTCTTTATTTTATAAGCATTTGTTGTTAACTGTCATCAAGTTGGTTCTGATTCATAGTGACTCTCTATAGGGTTTCTGAGGAGCACCTGGCAGGTTTGAACTGTTGACCTTGTGGTTTGAAGTCCAGTGCTGATCCTACAGCACCATACCAGGAATCCTTCATTAACATGTTACTGTCGTTGTTAAGTGTCCTCGAGTCGCGTTGGTCCCCACTCATAGTGACTCTGTATAGGGTTTCTGAGGTGCAACTGGCAAGCTTCAACCGCCAACCTTGCAGTCCAGTGCATTAACACATCACACCAGGACATACTAGAGACAAAACCACTGAGAGCCAGGCTGGGAGTAGATGCTAAGAAAATCAAGAGAAACAGAAATTCACAAAATTTTGCACATTTCTCTGGAGAGAAAGATGGCATAAATGATGAAAGATGGTTTGTTTTCCCAAAGGAAGCCAGGGTTTACAGCTCCCCTCTCTAGCCACAATTGGCTAAATTTCTTGAAATGAAAAATTCAGCTCCTCAGTCACACTAGCTCTTGTCAAATATTTCACATAGGCACTTCCGCTGCGGCTGGTGGATGCTGTATTGGAGAGCATAGACCTAGAACATACCCATTCTCAGACTAGGCTCTGGGACAGTACTGGTTTGGGATGAATAGAGTAAGAGGAAGCAGAAAGACTAATTTCAGGTGACACCGGACTATGTCTAGAAAGTGGCCTCAGAAATACCACTATCATCTGTGATGGTAGTGGTGTGCTGCAGAGTTGGTACAGACTCATAGTGACCCTGCCTAGGGTTTCTGAGGCTATAAATCTTTCCAGAAATAGAAAACCTCATCCTTCTCCCACTGTAACAGCTGGTAGATTCCAACTGCTGACCTTGAGATTAGCAGCCTGACTCAGCATTCACTATTCTGTGGATGGATGGCTGTAATTTCTATACAACTGAATGGTCTAAAGTTTGTTTTGTTTTCCAAAGTGAAAAATATGGAGTGATAATTATATCAGAATGGTGCTAAATGCTTTACACAAACTATCTTCCTTAATCTTCATAAAAGCTCTGTGATGCAGGCTCCACTGTTGACCAATTTAGAGGCAGGAAATGAAGTTTAGAGAGTGTATGTGAATTACCAAATTTAGGAGGCTCTGGGCATTATTTCATCTCATTCAAAATCAAAGTTACAGAGGTTGCTGGGAGGAGCCCCACTCTGACATGGAGACAGAGGACATGCCCTCTGGATCGAAGGAAGAGATCCCCCACCTCCCTACCACTACAAAGTACTGTGCTCCTAGTGGACTGGATGGTGTTCTAAACTAACTTTCTTTGTTCTTTTGGTGAAATATTTTTATATAAACAATGGAAAGGTATTACTTTCTAATTACATTTTTTACCCTACTCTTCAGTTAGAAATATCTGAGCTTTTCAAATTTAATCATTTCTTTTCATAGGTTTTATTGCTCTAATAAAAATAAGCCCCAACTGGGAACCATGAGGTTGGCAGTTCAAACCCACCATCCACTCCTGAGAAACCCTATAGGGGATCCCTATGAGTCAGCGCCTCGACAGCACTTAACAACAACAACACAACAACAGCAAACACAACTTAAGGGAGATATGGGGGTTCTGTAGGATACGTGCAAGACTGTGAACCACAAGGGTGGCAGCTCAAGACCACCAGCCTTGCTGCAGGAAAAAGATGAGGCTTTCTGTTCCCATAAAGATTTATAGCCTCAAAAACCCTACACAGGGTAGCTATGAGTCAGAAATGATTTCAAGGCACTTAACAACAACAGCAACAACCACAATTTAACATTGTTAGGGTAAGGAAGGAGTCCTGGTGTGGCATTGCAGGACAATGCGCTGGACCACAAAGTCACTTTGAACTGCAAAGGTGACCAGCCGCTCCTCAGAAACCCTATATGGGGTGGGTCATTATGGGTCGGAACTGACTCAACGACGCAAGGACAGGGTAAGGAAACTAGAGGAAAATTACAGAGGAGAATTACTAGCAGCATTGGAAAAGTAACATTAGGAAAAGATCAACAGAACCATAAAAAAAACAAAAAAAAAACACACCAAAAAAAACACACCACACTTCTAAGTACAAAATACAGAGGGACGTGATGTGGACTATCTCCTTGTCAGGTGGGCAGGGTATAAATGAGGTAAAATGAAACTACTATCTCCTTGTGTGTCCAGGACCCAGCGGGACTTGTGAGCCCTCTCTCCCTATTTAGCTACTCAGTGGGAGTTGCTAACCATCAGTAACCTCCCCGTTAACCAGTTTTCAGTGCAGGCTCAAAAATGGTTATGTCAAGTATCCCAGAAACCTCTGCAAACAGAACCCATCTTGAATCCCATCTTGAATCTTACATTCCATCACGGACAGCAGATGCACACACAGCATGAGGAAAGAAACAATGAAGCAACACGAGAAAGCATAATACCACAAACAGGAAAGCCTGCCCCTTTTTTGAAATCAGGCAGTCCAATTCTGCAGCTTAACCTACTCAAGTTGTCAGGGTCAAGTTAGGATCCCTGGGGGCCCCGGGCCTTTCTTACCCAGTATCCCCTGAAAGCCGAGAGGATGTCTCCAGTCCAAAAACAAGAAGGCTAACTTCTTGTTAGCCTTCTTGTTGGACTGGAGACATCCTCCCAGCTGGAAACGGAGAAAGATATCAGAACCTGAAACCCTGAAACAATTAGCTGGTCTCAGGCAGACAACCCATGAAGATAGCGCTTAAAGCTGACAACGCTAGAAGGTGCCCCATTTCTAAGAAGCCTGTGCCCCTCTACCAAAAGACCATGAATATTTATCATAAAACTCCTTCTAATTAATATGTATTAGCATACCCAACGAGAAAGGGACCCAATACCCTTACAAGCCAGAGCACCCCAACGCCAAAACATCTTCTCATCTTGCCAAGGCAGACCCGCATCTCTCTTTGAAATGTACTTTCCCTTTGACCTAATCTAATCTATGCTCCTTTCCACTACCAGCTTTATTCCACTCATGGAGAAAGACCCACTTCTCTCTCTGAAGCATACTGTTGCTTTGCAAGAGATTCTAAGTGAATGGTTTTGGTTCGTGTGTGAATGAGAAGTGGTGACTTGGTGGGACTAATTTTTCAGACTCCCCAAGAGTGAGAGGGACCAGGGAAAAAAATGTAACAGCATGGCACTGAGGGTTGATACGCTGGACTGCAAGGTTGGTGGTTCAAGATCCCCAGCCACAATGCAGAAATGCTACAAAGGGTGATTCTGAGTCGGAACCAACTCAATGGCACTAGACAACATCATTGCACCGTAGGCTGTGAGCACCAGGAGACTGCTGTTTATGGCATGCTTCCCCTGCAGGCATTCTTTTCCATCTTCTAACAAACCTCTTGCGGACTATAGATCATGACTTTCTAGCCTTCTGTAACCCAAGCCGATATCACCATGTCTTAAGTTTCAATGTGTAGAACAAACCGTGACCCATAGATTTGGTGTTTCAAATTTCTTCATACGTATAGGTACTGAGTTCTTAAATGTGACTTTATGACACAGAAAGGAATTCCAGAGTTCATGGAATTAAAGGATAATGGCATTTTCCCGCTAACTTTAGCTCCCTCATATTTGATCTAACAAAAGCTGACCTGTTGGCATCACTGGCACAGGTGAGCTAACCATCGTCAGTATTTACATCAGTTTTTATGTGATAATTTTCCCAAACAATTGCTTAGATGACTACACTTCATCATTTCTCCTCATTGCTAAGTTTTTGTTCGATTTTTAAGCTCTTTTGAATTACTCTAATGGTTGATGTCTCAATGATGCTGGCAGAAGATCCACTTAACTATTAGGACACCCCACTGCTCCAGAAGCTGAGGAGCAAGAATTGCTTCTGGCCTGATGCCCACCGCTCCCCCGTAATTCTCCATGCCTTACCTGCGGGGCGAGCCATCGTCATGGGGCTGAATGATGACCACCTTCACAGTTACAGAGGTCCGGAGTAGGTCAATCATCTGCTCGTGGGTGAGGGTGGCCACGGCCACTTTGCAGATCTCCACAAGGCGGCTCCCTTGGCGAAGGCCGGCCTTCCAGGCAAAGCCAAAAGGCTCTACGTCTGCAACGATTCCTTCGAAGTTCACATGGAAGCCCAGCTGGCCCAGCCCATTCCTCCTCAAGGTCATTTCCACAGTCTCACAGCCTCTAGTCACTATCTGAAAGGGAAAACACTGTTAAAAACTGTTACTTATCAGACTGTCATGAGCACCCTGAATGGGTCCGTGGCTCTTTTGCCACTTGACAGCATAGCCCTAAAGGTGCCTACCTCTTCCCTGCCCTTCACTTCACACTTCAGAAATGAAAGGACATATTTAAATCCTTATAATTTAAATGGTATTTGTGGTATCCAGTACGAAGAAGATGAAAGTGAACCTTAGTTTAACTCTTCGAAGGTAAATCTATTCCTGATACAGGTGTCCCCGCTTGTTCCAACTCATAACATTTCTAAGGAGCTGCTGGGGAGTTTGATCACCGACTCTGCGCTCCAAAGCAACCTGTGGTCCAACGCATTATCCTGCAGCACTGATAATTCGTCAAATTTCTAATGCAGCTAAACAGATAAAGCATACTGTCTAACTTAAATGCTGCAATGGAAAAGTAAGGCGTTTCAAAATCATTGCAGCTTTCAGTCATTAAGCTCTAAAACCTACTAGACAATGTCCTTCAACTTTTTCTAAACCAGTGGTCCACACCCACTTCCAAGCTAACACTTATGGCCCTGCCCCGAGGCCCAGGCAGGTCCAGCCAGAAGTTGGAATCTTACCAGAACGGTACATGCCAGGCACGGCATCAGCCTTGCCGACATCCTGCTCTGGTCACTTGCCTGGGTGGTAAGGAACCTTCAGATCACGTGTGTGCTACATAAGAGATTCTTTTGTCATCTCTTGACAAGCAAAGTTGGCAGGTGAGGCCTCTTCAAACACAGAGCCTCCTGTGCCTACTGGTTTCCTACTCTCTACCAGGCCAGCCATTGTCAAACCAGAAGCTCCAGGGAGAGGCCAGGGACAAGCCAAGCAGGAGTGGTGTGTGTGCTCTCACCTTTCCCAACACAATGACTTTACTGAAGTATCACAGGCAGGAACAGTGGGGCAAGGAAAGGGTTGCATCTCACAAGGTGCACGAATACATCTGCAGCTTATATCCATGAGGAAGTGCTTTTCCAAGCAATAAAAGAAAAGAAGGGCTCATCAAATATTATTTGATGACATCACTTATTTGTGGGATAGTTAAAAGTCAGAAGCCATCGTACACTTATCCCCCAAAGTACAGAACCAAAGTATGAAGTTTCAGTGTAATAACTGCTCCATTCCCATGGAGCATGCTGGGAACACACAGACACCTATTTAATCAAACTACGGCTGCAAGAGCAGAGCTGTGGGAATGGGGCTGGTTTCAGTGCATCATCACTGTGTCTGCTGTCTCCATGGTTACCTCAAGGGCACACATTCTGGGTCTGTTTCTCACTGACAGAGAGGACAGTTTGGGGCTTAAGGAAATGTGGAAAGGGATTGCTAGTCTTAGCTAGTGGGGAAGTTTTGAAAGATTGAAGTTTCCAAACTGTCAAACTGAGCTGATTTAAAATTGTTGGAAAAGTTCTTTTGAAACGGGTACAACCTGAATAATTTTTCCTTTATTTCTCTTTAGCTTTTTTCTAGGCTTATTCACAAGACCATGAATAAAATGTGTCCTACCTTCTTCCAAATACTAAGGTCATTTTCAGCTACAATTTAATACCCATGTTAGGTGGGAGAGCAAAGACAGAGCCGTGCTAAACTACAACATCTTGTCTCGTCTGCTTAGTTCTTTCCTGATTCCCTGCCACTATTCTCACTCATTTTTTGCTATTTCTTTATCTCCTCTGTTCCTTGGCTTTACATCATCCGGAGATTGAGTATGAAGGACAATGGTCTCCATTTATTTTAAGCTCTTCACATATGGTCTCCATTATCAAGAAAACCGTAGTCTCCTATGCCTGCACCCAAGATGGGCTATGTACTATGTACAGCCCAGGGTGAAATAAAAACTGTAGAGCCCCTATTCAAAAAAGCATTAAAATCTCAAGTCTGTGTGACTACAAAGTATTAAAACAAGGAAGGCCCGTTTGAGCACGGGGCCTGGTACAGCTGTTATACCTACCAGTCACCCTAAGTTAGGGGTGGGGAACCTTTTTTCTGCCAAAATTGACAACGTCATTTGTGGGCCATACAAAATGATCAACTTAAAAATTAACCTGCAGATATTGGTCAAACATTCAATGAACTCACCCCTTGTGTGATTGCTAGAAGCCCTGGTGTGGCATTATGGGTTAAGGCGCCAGACTGCAAAGTGGTTTGAACTGCAAGGTTGGCGGTTCAAGCTCACCAGCTGCTCCCTGGAAACTCTATACGGGGTCACTATGGGTCGGAATTGACTCAACGGTACTTAACAACAACAACAATGTGATGGCTGGAACTGTGATTGCCTTGACAGGACCAGACCAGCTGTTGGTATGGCCCACAGGCCAGACACTCCCCATCCCTACCCTAGGTAAAGCCAATCCTGACTGCTCCTTTAGGGTTGTGCGTCTGTTCCCCTCCTGTGTCTTTACCTGCATACTGGGCATCTTTACTCTTACTCTCCGCCCTCATGAAACAGGAACACGGACTTTACCATCTTTTCTCAGGGCAATCCCAGTTATCTCAACTACTACTGCATCTTTCCTTCTTCCCTACCACTGCTGCTGAGTTGATTCTCACTCATAGAGACTCTAACAGACAAAGCAAAGCTGCTCCAGAGGTTTCTGAGGCCGTAATTCTTGATGGGAGCAGAAAGCCTCGTCTTAATCCTGTGGAGCATCTGGTGGGTTTGAACCACTAATCTTGTGGCTAGCATCCCAATGGCTGTTGCCCTATACTAACTTTATTTCCAATTCCTTCAATAGTCTGAGTTGGGTGCTTTTCAATATCTTATGTCGCAAGTTACTCTAGACACAGAACTTTCCTCGCATATGATTTCAGACATTGGGTACCCTAGTCACATCAGCAACACAGTTATTACTCTAGGGAAATGCTAGGCTGGGGTCCATGGAATAGCAAACATGTAAGAGCCAACTGGGTCTTGGCTACAAATCCAATGGCAAAAATGTGATGTGCCGTCCATATACAGATATGAAATGGAAATGGCCAAGCAAGGTGCATTTTGGGTGGTTAATGAGGTGGTATTAGGTTGGGTTGTGCTTTCAGGAGAACAGATAATAATGGCTCAGTGGATTTGTTTTAAATCAGTATTTGCAATTTTACAGAAAATACACTGTATCTCTAGGCATTTAAACTACTCACACACTAAACTGTCTCCCAACTCTTATACGGCTGATAATACTTTGACCAGATTGAAGCCCTTGAGTGAATAGGATCTGTAAACAATGAAATTATTCTTCCATGGCTGGCAGATGTTGACTTGATTTTGTTTTCTCTTATAGTCTTAAATAAAAAAGGGGTGATTTATATTTGGTAAGAGGAAGGAGTCAGGAAATGAATGTAACTTCTCCTTTTGCAGATCCATGGCTGGCTAAATCTTTCTAATTAATGAAGCAATACATCCTCCTAGGGGAGAAATAATTCCATTCTCAAAGGATGTTTTCTTCTACACACACAAAAAAAGGAAATCTTTGTATTTGTTTTTACTATTCTAAGTGACACTGTAGGATAAGCACTAGACTGTTAACTGCTGGGTTCAAACCTATCAGTTGTCCCTTGGAAACCTTATACAAGGTCGCTATGAATTGGAACTGACTCGATGGCACTTAATAAAAACACTGCTTAAAATCTGGATCTTAGTTTGCTAAAACTGGGAACAGATACAACTGTTAAACAGCCTGGATAGTATGTAGGAGTGTTGTACTTAAAATCACATTTTAGGAAAATTTCTTTTTAAGCCTTATCTTTTTTTATTTTTCTGTTTTCCTAACATACTAGTAAACTGTGGTCAGATTTAAATCGTTAAAAATATGATGACTAAACATGCCCAGAATTGAATCTGCTAACAGGTCTTAGGAGTCCTGGTGTGGCGCTGTAGGTTAATGTGCCAGACTGAAAAGTCTTTTGAACTGCAAGGTCAGCGGTTCAAGCTCACCAGCTGCTCCCCGGAAATCCTATACAGGGTCGCTATGGTTCAACAACACTTCACAACAATAGGTCTCAATCACTTAACATAGTTAACAGCAATTTTATTTTATTTATTACCCTCTGAGAAGGTCCTGTCATGTCTATCTATACAAAAAAGCTGTAGTATCTAGACAATTTTCATTTTTGCTTCCAATACAATTAAAATATATTATCATAATACTCTCTTTTGAGAGTTGGTTTAACTATTCTTTTCCAATCAGTTTATGCAAGTACTTTCCCACTGTTTATGTATTTAGCAAGTGCTTAAAAGGATCTAGTATTTAAAATTTAGTTCTGTGTCCATAAGAAATAGTAATTCATTCCTAAGTGCTATAATCATGGTCAAATCGCCATAGCGAAAATGACCATGAATCTTCTATTGAAGAAACAAGGCAGAAAAAACAAAGCATGTACTTACTCCTAATCTCTTAACGATCTCCCTTATGTCATCAGCACAGCTATCCACTGAAGATAGAAGGATGCATTCTCCTCTTTCGTAAAACACTTTGATACTCATTAGTCCAGATGTCCACCCAATCACATCCCTGCAGGAGCAGTTAAATATAACATTCTTAGAATCCTTCTCGATCAACATTATAAACTCATTAGAAATTCCAAGAAGACACTCAATGTCAGCAGACTGGCCAAAGTCCCTTGCGATGACGTGCCACATGATTGCGCCAATGCTACATAAGTGGGCATCCTTCCTCGGCCTCACTTTTTCCTTCTTCTTTGCACCCAGTGTAATGAAACTGAACTTCACAGAGGTATCCACAGTGGCGGTCGTGACAAAGTTCTCTGCTAGGTCTTTCAGGTACTCTTGTCTCGTTCGAGTGGCCATCGCCCGGAATTTTTCAGACTTATGGGCTGCGTTTTCCGCATTGATCACTTTGGCTAAGAGGAAGTCCCGAAACACCGCTGACTTAGGAAAAGTTACACCTTTGGGAATCGGCGGACCAAATGGTGGCACATCTTTTGATCTAGAAACTCCAACACTGGGAAAGAGAAAAAAGAAGCAAGGTGAGTGGTCATACCATAATTATTTACCCTCAGAAACCTGACTTTTGATGCAATCCATCTATCTTGTAGCTTCTTGTTCTTCTAATTTCTGGCCAAGTTTTAAAACTTTTACTTTATTTAAAATTTTTGGTCTTGAACAAAACTGACTTTTTAAAGTTGGCTGTCTCAGGGAATGCACGCCCAATGGGACAGAAGCAACATCCCCAGATGGTGCCAGGTTGGCACTCCCATTCTATGGCTGGTGACGCCTGAGGAAACTGGGAACCCTTCCAAAAGAGCTGGTTCTAGCCCCATCAGACTTGCAGGTCCAAATGTTTTAAGTTTCACTTTTTATTTTCTAAGGAAATGCTCACTTTACTTGACTATGCTTTGAAACTCTGAATGGAGATTTTTATGGGGGAATGATTTTAAGAGTTCCCATAGACTGAATAAAATGTATATTGACAGTAATAACCATCTTAGTCTATTCAAACGAATAAGGATTGAGGACTAGGTGCGCCTGACCCAAGCCATGGTATTTTCAATAACCTCATACGCATGTGAAAGTTGGACAGTGAATAAGGAAGACTGTAGAAGAATTGATGCTTTTGCTTTATGGTGTTGGAAAATACTGAAAGTATCATGGGCTGCCAAAAGAACAAACATCTGTTTTGGAAGAAGTGCAGCCAAGAGTGCTCCTTGGAGGTCAGGATGGCCAAACTTTGTCTCTCATACTTCAGACACACTGTCAGGAGGGACCAGTTGCTGGAGAAGAATATCATGTTTGGTAAAGTGAAGGGTCAGAGAAAAAGAGGAAGACCCCCAGTGAAATGGACTGGCAAAGTTGCAGCATCAATGGGCTCAAGTGTGGCAACAATAGTGAAGTTGACCCAGGACCGAGCAGTGTCTCGTTCTGTGGTACATAAAGTCGCTATGAGTTGGTACCGACTCAATGGAACCTAACAACAACATAGGACAGCAGGTTTAGTTGCCTATGTGAGTGTGGAATGACTCCAGAGTACCTAAGCATCTGTGCCCCTTAACACTAACCAATCACAATAATTGAATATCCAGTGCAGACCAAACATTCTTCTTAATCCCTTATCTACTTAGGCTGATGATTACTCTTAGGATCAACAAAGGAAGCAGTTTCCCTTCTTTTCTATCATTTGGAAAGCCCAGAGAGGTGAATTAAGGACTAAACATATTTATATTTTCCCTGTCAGGTGTGAATTCCTTTCTTGGAATGTGGTTGGACTCTAAAACAATCACAGTACTTGGGTCTCTCTCAACTTTCATTTGACTAAATTCTCAACAATGGAGTTCCCCACCTGGAGGGGACTGATAAGGTCCTGGTTGAATGGAAGGGGACTGAGGACCATTTCCTTTGGGTACTTAGAGAGCAAAACTCAATCAGCAACAGAACCTGGTGGTGTTGGGCAGTGCTGTGTGTACTAAACTGGGGGAGGGGAGGGAGACTTAAGTTCTCAACATGAACCCACAGTTCTAAACAGGCTACAGAGGTTGGAATTGCAGGGTCCAACTTCACAGTTGACCCGTCCTCGCTTGAAAGGGACCTTTCACCTCATCTCTGCAGATCTCAAGCTACTCTCTGACTGGATATTGAATACATTTACTCTAACGCATCAGTGAAAATATCCTATGTCCAAAAATGTTCAAGGACGGCTGCCAATATGGCCTTTCTTAATTCTGAGGGATGACACAAGGTGCCTAAGATAAAAGGCAGAGTTGTCTTAGGATTTTAAAAAGGCAATCCTTTTTGCACCAAAGAATGGACCCTACTATATAATTGGACATCCCTTCTTCGACAATGTATGTCTGATTCCTACTCATTTAACTGTTACCGTGTGCATCTCAGATCAAAGTTCTATGAAGAAGGTAGAAGAATTTAGGCATGTGGCACCAATGGATAAACACTCAACCTCAAGGTCGGTTTGAACCTTCAAACTCATCAGCTGCTCCTCAGAAACCCTATACATTGAGTTGGAACTGACTCAATAGAACCTATCAACTCTTATATCCTGGTATTAATGTTGTAAGCTACACATGGATTGCTAACCAAAAGGTCGGTGGTTCAAACCCACCAACTGCTCCTTGGTCACAGTGAGTTGGAAATGACTTGATAGCACTTAATAACAACAACTCTTATATCCATCCCAGAGAAAGATGAAGGTTGCTATGAGTTGGAACCGACTCAATGGTACTCAACAACTCTTATAGCCATGGTAAAGTGGGTTATACTGATAACCACATGATCAGTGGTTCAATCTCACCAGCAGCTCCGAGAAAGAAAATTGAGGCTGTTTATTCCAGTAAAGATCTACCATTTCATGAATCTATGGAGGAACTTTACTCCGTCTTTACGGATCACTGATTTTTTTTACTCTGGTATCCTAGGGATGGGGGTTGGGGGATCAGTTAGAACTCTGGTAACATGGTTTATACAATCCTTAATTCTTCAAGTAGAATCAGGGTTAGAAAGAATATTTCTTTTCCAAACTCAGAAAATGTCTACTGGATTGAAACAGTAAAGGGTTCCAGAACTTCTTAATTAACCATATAATTTAATAGCAGTTATTGATGACTGAAATATAAAACCTGCCAGTCTTCCAACATAAAAACGATCAGCCTGAGCAGACACTGATTCGTTAGAATTCTTGAAAAGAGCAAGCAGAGCAGATGGTGTGGAGGCTGTGGATTTGTTCAACACTCACTCTTCAAATCTTCCATTTGTTATTACTAAAGTGGACATTCCTTCATAGACACGTGAACAGGTTTTAATAATCGTGGTGGTTAAGAACAGAGACTATGGAGTTAGGAGACTTATTCAATTCCAATACTATCACATACCGAGCAACTCTACTAAAATTGCTATCATCTAATTTTTACAAAAGGGGGCTGGTGGTAGCGGTGGTCTTGTGCAGTGCATTCAGTTCCGACTCACGGTGACCCTGTATAGGGTTTCTGAGGCTGTAATCTTTATAGGAATCCTGATGTGGCACTGAAGGATAATGCACTAGACCGCAAGGTGAGTTTGAACAGGAAGGATGGCGGTTCAAACCCACCAGCTGCTCCTTAGAAACCCTATATAGATTGGGTCACTATGAGTTGGAACTGACTTGACAGCCATTAGCAACATCAGCAATCTTTACAGGAACAGAAAGCCTCATTTTTCTTTCCAGGAGACACTGGTATATTCAAACTGCTGGCCTTGTGGTTAGTTGCTTAGCTTGTAGTGCCCTATGCTACCAAGGGCTCAGAAAGAAACGGACTAGCTATTATATTTTTGAAAACAGAAGTCGTCATTCTCTGGAGATGACTCCCAACTTTTAAGTGACTTTTAGCTAATAATCCTATGAGGGACTTCGGGAAGTTCATGGAAAAATGAAGCTAAAAGATGATGAATTTTTCTCACGAATTTTAAAAGTTCCCTTATGTAAAGTAATTCTTCTCATTAAGTTACTAAGGCATGCAAAGAGTTTATCTTGGAAAGCATGTAAGATCATAAATCCAAGTTAGCGCTACAACTGCTAGCTCTAACTACTCGAATTCTCAAATTAAGGTTCTTTTATAAAGAGGAAATAACGTTAAATTTGCTTTTTTAAGAATTTTAAGCTAAAATTATATGTAACACAGAACTTTTAGGGATGTTGCCTTATCATTTCTGTGTTCAGGTTGTTCTTGTTGTTAAGTGCCATTGAGTCAGGTCCTGACCCATAGCAACCCTGTACAGGGTTTTCAAGGAACAGCTAGTGAGCTTGAACCACCGACCTTGCAGTTCAAACCAACTTTGCAGTCTAGTGCATTAACCCACAGCACCACCCAGGACTCTTCTGTGTTCTGGTAGATCCCATATTGTTACCTCTTGAGAATTCATCTGCATACATGGATGAAGCCTTACAACTACACTACCTCGGCAAGGTGGAGGTGGTATTATTACAGGAGGTTACCTCAGTAGTCCTCACTAACTGGCACTGCAGGTCCTCTTCAGTTATAGCATCAAAACCAGCATTCACATGAACTAGCAATCTTCTGTCAAACACGTCCCTGGATTCAGACTTAGCAACTTAGAAAACAGGCAACTTGGATTGCATTTTCTCTTTCCTTAACAACATTGTTTTAATCAACTTGGGATCTTATTGGAGCACAGTGGCTCCATACGGGCAGCGAACCACAATGTCCATGGCTCAAGGCTGCTACCCACTCCGAAAACAAGAGGCAAAGACTGAAAGCCTCAAAAACCCTACACAGGGTCGCTACGAGTCAGAACCGACTTGACAGCACCTAACAACAATAACAATGATCTTATTCAATTGTTTTGAGAAATACCATATGAAACAGATCTGAAAGGTACCATATGAAACAGATCTGAAAGGTACCATATGAAACAGATCTGAAAGGTACCATATGAAACAGATCTGAAAGGTAATGTTGAAAGATTGGGGACTGCAATCTCATGTTGTTGTTAGGTGCTGTCAAGTTGGTTCCACTCATATTGACCCTACCCACAACAGAATAAAACACTTCCTGATCCTGGGCCAGCCTCACAACTGTTGGTCTGTTTCAATTTACTGTTGCTGACACAGTATCAATCCATCTCATTAGTGGTACATGATGTCCTTCCTCAGGAACTGGTCCTTCCTCACAACAATGTCCACAGTATAAGAGGCAAAGTCTCACCATCATCGCTTTCAAGGAACAAATGAGCTGTACTTCTTCCAAAACAGATTTGTTTTTACTTCTGGAAATCCATGGTATATTCAATATCCTTCACCAACACTGTAACTTAAATGCATTGATTCTTTTCTGGTCTTACTTATTTATTGTCCAGTCTTCGCATGCATATGAGGAAACTGAAAGCACCGTAGCTTGGGTCAGGCACACCTTAGTCCTCAACACTTTAAAGAGGTTTTTACAGCAGATTTGCCGAATGCAGTATGCCATTTGATTGTCTCTGGCTGTTGTTTCCAGGAGG